AACATGCATATCACTAGCATTTAATATTTTTTAACAGTTTTTTTCTTCCTTTCAAGTAGAATTTACATATGAAGACATGCACAAATCTTAACTGTACATTTGCTGAACTTTGACAAAAACACACAACCTATTTAACCCTTATCAAGATACAGAACATCACCATCATTTCAGAAAGTTCTTTTGTGTCCCTTCCCAGGCAACCCCTGCCCCGACCCACCCGATACAATTGGTGTTTTAAATTTTTCCACTACAGACTGCCTATTCGAGAGCTTTACACTTTTTTAACAGAGAAAAAGAAATCCCACTTCCTACGCACATACATACACACATATTCTTCTTCTTCTTTTTGTTGTAAAAATACATACAACACATTTACCAATTTTGCATTTTTCACCTGTACAATTAGAAAAAAAAAAAACAGAAAAAAATTGCCCACCTTGTCTCAGATGCTTAAAGAAGTTTATCTCTTCCTGGCCAGATGTGTTATATTCCTTCTTTGGGCTCCAATCAGCAAATAACTTCTCATTCCCTGGGACACATGTATTTTGGCTTTGGGCTTCCTGAGAGCAGGGACCACATCTACCCCACAGCAGGTGCTCAATAAATATTTGTTCCCCTGAGGCCCTCACTCAGTATTCTCTTATCTTCATCCTCAGACAAACCATCAAGTATCTTGGGGTCTTGCTTCTTTTATTTTTGGAAGCTGGGGTTGACTCTTAAGGGGGTACGATGACAGAAGGAGGAAGGTCAGCAGCTTGGGGTCCTGGTCTCATTCTCCAATTAATCTGCTGAGGGACCTTGAGCAAGTATCTTTCGCCCTCTGGGCACCTGCTTCCTCCACTAGCAAATGAGGCAGATGGTATAGCTGGAATGAGGCCAAAAACCTTGGTGTCATCCTTGACTCCTCTCCCTTCCCCACATCAGATTCATCAGCAAATCTGACAGTTCTTTCTTCAAATCACATCCAAAATCTGGCTGTTGCCATCCTTCTGTTACCACCACCCTGATGCAAACTACCATCCTCACTCCACTAGCTTCCTGCACTAGCTTCCTCACAAGGCTTCTCATTTCTACCCTTGCCCCCTACGGTGGAAACTTTTGTTATAAACTATAGAGGATTGTCCAAATGTTGGTTTTCTTACTGATGGTGAAGAGGTACTTGTGGTTTAGGGTGTTGATGTCTAACACCTGCGTGACTTTAGGAGGGTCACTCAAGTTCTTTGACCCTTAGTCTGAAAAGAGGGGCTATTAGTACCTGCCTTAGATGTTTATTATGAAGATTAAAAGAGAAACCATGTAAAAAATCCTTAGCACAGTTCCTGCTATGTAGTAATAATAGTAACTGTTATTGTTGTTATTGAGGGGCTGGAAGGGAAGGATTCTATTTTTGGGTCCTGACTCTGCGTGGTGACTGCCTGTGCTACTGTTTTGGGATAAACATAGAGGGGATGGATCCCCTTAGTCTAGACCTGTCCTGATCCCCTCAGGGCAGGACCCTCTCCCTCTAAGCTTTCTGAGTCCATATGCACAGCATGCTGATAACGTTGCCTGAAGACTGGGCTTTGGAAAATAATTACTCAGTTATGCTCAGTGATAATAATAATACTAACAATAGTCAATATTTAATGAACACTTGCCAGGCACATTGCTAAACATTTTACAGTAGCATTTACAGTAGGAAAGACCACAGATTGGTATTTAATGTTAGTTCCTGCCACATTTCCTGTCAGTGTGATCTTGAGCAATTACTCTGCCTCTGTGGCCTCAGTTTCCTCTTCTGTAAAACGTAGATAATAGTTCATCCTACTCCCTAAGGCTACTGTGAGGACTCAATGTATAATACATACAAAATGCTCAGCCCAGCAGCATGCATACAGTAGGTTCTGGATAGCTATTACTATTATTAGCTATTATTGAATAGTTAATAAGGCCTGACCAGACTGAGTACTTGTCTAACCAGGTACATTTAAAGCAAATATATCAATGGCCCATTTTTTAGTTTAAAAAAGGAGAAAAGAATCCCTTCCATGGGTTAACTGGGGCAGAAAAAAGCCTGGGTGTTCCTGTTGAAAATGAATGGTGAGAAACCCACTTTGCAAGTGAACTGTGGCCTCTAACGACACTACAATTAAGACTGAGTACTTTACAATGGGGTTCTTTCACATACATGGGCTCAGCGAATCCCCACAATCACTCTGGGAAGTAGGCATTACTATTATTATTATTATTCCAATTAGATGGGGGAGAAGACTGAGGCTCAAACTCCTTAGCATACCACACAGAGTGGGGGGTTGCGCTAAGAGTCTAGTCCCAGCTCTGCCGCAGACCAACTGTGCTTCTCAGACAAACATCCTCATCTTGCTGAGCCTTAGTTTCCTCAACTATAAAATGGGGCTCATCGTACTAGACACTGCTTGTAGACCTACGGGTGAATTGGGCTTGCCCTAGCAGCTGGGAGCAGACTGGTGACAGACAGGCTGGGGGACAAAGGGACAGGGATAGCTGAAGAAGGTGAGGAGGCTGGGAGAGAGTTCATGTTTGCATTTGCCAAGATCTGGGGCAGCCAGGAAAGAAGTGCAGGCATGTATTAATTATTAAAAACAAGAACTTTTGTGGTGTTTTTAATGTGCCAGGTACTGTTCAAAATGCTTTATGTTAATTAACTCCTATAATTCTCATTATAACTCCATGAAGTAGGTACTATTTTTAGCTCCATCTTACAGATGAGAATACTGAGACACAGAGATGAAGTCGTTTACCCATAAAAATACCTACATATATTAAGCATCTTTTAAGCATCAGGTACTGTGCTAAGCACTTTACACATGTTATTAAAAACCTGTAGCTGCTCTAAGGGCCGAAAAGATGATGGAATAACCCAATGCAAATATAATACTTAAACTAGCACATAAGTGTAAGTCCATCAAGGCTTGGATTTATTAGCACAAGGGCTTCTAGGATGCATGTGTCTTTTTTTTTTTAACCTTAATTTTTTTGGGGGGTAACTTTTTATTCTATATTTCTTATCGTTGTAAAAATATATACAACACAACATTTGCCAATTCAACATTTGTAACTTTTTATTTGATATAATATCTGTAGAAGAGTTGCAAGACTATTACAAGAAACTTATAAACGTCTTTTTAACCAGATTCACCATTTGTTTACATTTTGTCCCATTTGCTTTACAACCTCCCTCATTATTTTTTTGAAACGTTTGAGGCAAATTGGTGACCTCTTGTTCTTTTACCCCTAAAAATGTCAGTGTATATTTTCTAAGAACAAGGAAGGATGTTCTCTTACCTGTGTATTTTTTAAGCAAACAAACAAACAAAAAAGCAAACTTTCATAAAAATATTTCTTTAGTGGTAGGAGCTTCATCCCCCTCAACTCACCATCAATGTTTTCACTTAAATTCATTTAAACTAATTCCCAGAAGCAATCTTGTGAGGTATTCTCTCTCCATGGCTGAGAAAACTGAGGCTCTGAAAGACCAGTGATTTATCAGATTCACAAATTGGTGAAGGCAGGATTCAAACCTCTGTTGTCTAATGAAAAGTCCCCCTCTATTCCATCAGTAGCCCCACAGAGAATGCCATGCTGGGGGAGAAGGTGTGATGGGGGAGGAGTACATGTCATCCCGAGAGTGAAAGGAGCACTGGAAGGAACCCAGTGATGGAGAGGGGAGTCTCTTTAGGTGGTGGTGGTGAGGAAAAGCTTCTCCAGAAGATGACCGTTTGGGAGAGACTGAATGATAAGAAGCTGCCCATATAGAGATCAGGCCAAAGAGAGAGTGTCTGTGTGTGTGTGTGTGTGTGTGTGTGTGTGTGTGTGTGTGTTTGTGTGTGTGCGTAGGCAAAGGCTCTGAGGCAGGAATGTGCTTGGTGTGTTTGAGGCATGTCAAAGAGGCCAGACGGTTAGAGTGAAATGAGAAAGGGGAGAGGGTACATGCCTGGAAAGGTAGGCATGGCCAGCTCATATAGGACCTCGTAGGCTGCCATGTCAATCATTCATTTGTTCTTTCATTCAACACATATTTACTGAGCATCTACTGAGAGCTAAAATACGCTGGCACCCTGTGCTCAGTTTACTGTGTGGAGAGGCCATAAGGCATGTAAACTAACAAATATATGAATATAAATACAATGTGAGATAAATGTGGAACCTATTTTCCAATCATCCATGACCACATAAGGGCAGAGGCAACTGAGACCTGTTACCAGCGTGGGGCTTCTCCCTCAGCTGGTCGTTGTCTGCGGGGCCAAGAAGCCAGGCAGCTAGGGACCTGACTGCCTTCCTCTTCTTCCCTCCCTTCCTTTCCCCTTAAGATGGCTGACAAAGGCCCAGCGTGGTGGGAAGAAAAGGAGGACTAGCCAGAGTCCAGAGCTGGTGACTGGCTGGGCACCTCAGTGCCTAGGTGGCATTGCGGCTGGTGTGTGTATGGGGGGTTAGGGGGCAGTAAAGGTGAGACTCTGCTGCTGTGTGACTCCGGCAGGAGCCCTTGCCTCTCTGGACTCCTGCACTGGGACCTGAATGTACATGTATGTGGTGGGGGTGGGGGCGGGAAAAAGGCCGCAGGAGGAGTCTTCAGTGTTGGGGAACGTCTGGGAGTCCAGTATCGGGAATTTTATTCCCGTTAGCGATTTCACAGGCCCCGGGGGGCCAGGAGGCGGTGCTTGTAGAGGAGGGGCGGAGGGAGAGGCTCCCGGAGAGATTTCAAATTTCCCTCGTCCCCTCCGCCGCTCCCCCCGCGCCAGGGGCCGACCGCTGAATGGCTGCGGCGGGTGCGCCCCCGGGCGGGGGCGGGGCGAGGGCCGGGCCGGGGTTACAAGGGGAATCGGCACCGCCCCCTCCCCACCCACTCCCTCTGCCCAGTTCGGCCCGCGCGGCTTCCTCACAGCAGCCACCCCCGGGCACCACGGCCGCAGCCCGCGTGGACACCTGGAGCGCCCCCAGACGGACGGGACCGGCCCACTGGCGGGCGTGCGAGCAGGCGGGCGCGCCCGGCCGGCAGCGCGGGGGTTAAGTGGCCCAAGTAAACGTAGCGCGGCGATCGGCGCCGGAGATTCGCGAGCCAAGCGCCTTGCGCGGCCGCCCGCCGGCCTCTCGCCAGCCTGTCCGGACCCGCGGCTCGACCGCGGAGCCGCGCGCGAGCCAGGCTGTCGGCAGGTGAGCGCCTGGTGGTCCCGGAGAGGCTCACCAGACCAGACGCTCCGCGGAAAGGTGGGGGAGGGGGAGAGGGAGGGCTGTACTGGGTCTACAAGAAAAGGACTCACTCCAGGACATCGCAGGGGAGGGGACACCCACCCGGCTGTTGACCAGACTAGTTTTTGGGTGACGGCTGGAGGAAAGGTCTCTTGACCCTACTTGGGGCGATAGGGTGGAAGCAGACAAGAAAGATAAAACCGGGGGAGGCGTATGTTTTACGGGAATACAGTGGAGGGGACACGCCTGCTGTAAAGCCAAGACCCCTGGGAGTAGAGAGGTCCTCCCTTAGGGAGGCGGACGGGGCGGCCTTCCGGGGCTCTAGATTCGAGGGGAAGCGTCCTTCTGTAGGGGTGTAGTGAGTTTTTTGTTTTTTGTTTTTTTCTCATGGGGAGCGGGTGTCCTTACCTGGCCTCTGTCTTAGGGGAAGACTTTTAGGCTTTTCTTCTGGAATCACTCACCTGTGACAGGGAAGGGCTGCAGGAGTTCTGGGCCAGCCCGAGGCCTGTGCTTCCAGCCTGCCGCCCTCCTTTATCCTCTGGGCTTGAGGCGGGGAGGAGGGAGTCCATCTCATTTGACTTTATATCTAGGGACACAGGTGAGGGATCTTTTTCTGTCAGGGTTAGAAACATTCTAGTGGCTGTGGGCGCAGGCGAGCAGGTAGTCCGAGGTGTGCGCGCATGGGGAGGGGAGGCTTGAACCAGAAGGGCGGGCTCCAGGGGTTCTCCATTCCTGAACCACCGACGGGCGACGCGCCGTGGGGCTTCCAGGACGCTCTTTTGGGAGGGGCTGTCCCTTGCCGGTGCACACCTGGCCAGGGAGCAGCCGACGGGGGCGGCGCCAACCTGCCGGAGTCACGCCGCCTGCCCTAGGGGCTCACCTTCCATTCTTAACACGCTTCCCGGGCGAAGCTGGCCCTACTCAAACCCACAAACTGAGGCCTCGAAACCTCGAGCACAACCCACTAGAAAACAGGCTTCCGTGCCCGTGTTTGGCGACCTTGGGGGGCTGTTGAGCCCCCTTTACAGAGGAGAAAGTGCAAGTCGGGGAAAAACAGCGGGGACTTGGAATCAGCAAGTTAGCAAGACAGCTACCCTTGGGCTTAGGCTTTTCTTCTGGAATGACTCACCTGTGGCAGGGAAGGGCTGCAGGAGTTGTGGGACCAGCCCGAGGCCTGTGCTTCCAGCCCCTGGGCTGGGAGACTGACTCCCTGGGCTCCTTCGTTTCTCCCTCCCTCACGCCAAGGCTGAGAGGCCTATGAATTAGGGAATTAAGGACAGTGTATGAACTTTGAACCACCTCCTGAGTTCTTGATGCTGAGGGTTTGGGCAAATTGCTGGCAATTGTTTTTCAGAGGAAGCTTCCTGCTGGGACCCTCACTTAAGGGCCGAGGAAGCTGACCTGTCTCTGTCCTACTCCGCCAGGACAGCTGCTGCTGCTTCTTGCTCCCTGCCCTTGGAATTCCCAAGTACAGACTTAATTTTTACAGAGTTGAGATGATGGAACTTATTTTATAGGGCTGGTATACACGAGGCACTCAATAAATGTTTGCCACTGTTGGCATTATCTAGCGTATGGGCTAAGCAGGCCGCCCTCCTTAGGGAAGAAAAGTTCTAGATCATGCGCTTAACTATCCCAGCAAGTCCTTTCCCTTCTCTGCCTTAATTATTACATCTGTGAAATAAGAACAATCCTTCTTACCTCAGGCTGTATAAAGATGAAACCTGTTATGCATAATTTAACCTCTCCAATTCTTGGTTTTCCTTAAATGCTTTATGGGTGTAACAACCCCTACCGCACTGGGTAAGGACTAAAAGGGATAGTGCCTGGCATAGGGTTAACATGTGATGAATGTTGATGTCTGTATTAATTGATTAACCAATAGCTCCTCTTTTTAGTGTGGCCAATAGGGAGAATTGGGGATGGAGGCAGCTCTGCCAGTCCCTCCCTTCCTGCCTTCCTCCATGAAGGTGTTCTATTCCTCTCAGCTATGAAAGCTTTTCCAAATCATCATTGTCCTCGATTTGGGAGTTGGCAGGAAGAAATGCCTTTGTTCCCTTTTGAATGGAGCCATGGTTTTGTTTACGGGTTGAGTCCATTTTTACGTTCTCTCCCCTCCCCAGCTTGGGCCCTACCATGAAGGTGTAATTGCAGAGTTAAGCCAGATCCATTACCTTTACATGCTGGGGTGGAGAGGGCAGCGACAAAGGGGCAAGGACTGGCTGGCTGCATCCTGCTCCAGAAACTCTTAGGTGTATAACCCCCACCCTGTGCAAAGGCTGGGGGGAGGGGAGGGGAGGAAAGTATCTGGGAGCTGCAGGGGACTAAGGGGGAGGGGGATCGGGATCAAGGAAGTGGGGGCTGGGAAAGGTTGCATCCCCCTCTTCCTTAAACCACAAGGGGTCTGTGACCCAGAGAGAAGCCTGTCAAACCTCATTGTAGCCCAAGGGACCTACTTCTGATAGAGGTTTGGGCAAGTTCCCTTCCAGGAAATCTTACCTTGGGATTCCTTTGTCCAAGACCTGCCCCGATGCCAGTTGGCCCTGCCTCCAGGCTCAGACCCCTTTTTCAGTTCCTTGCTAAGTCTGAAGCTCCTCGTGGGTCCTACACTGTGGTTGGGGCCGCCCTACCCCTCAGTGGGGGCAGGGCCTGAACCCAGGCACATACTTCTGGTGAGTGGTTTGTTTTTTTTTTTTAAATTGGAAATTCAGGGTGATACTCAGTTTCATGGAAGACCAGGACTGGGGAAGTGCCCAATTTCATATTCGTTTGCAAACCACCACTTCTTTTGTAAAGTGTAGGGTGGACTTGTCTCCCTTTTCGTGGGGGCTAGTGTTCTCACTGGGCCCACTTTACAGATGATGGAACCGAGGCTGTGAGAGATCTAGTTACTTCTGCGCCTTGATGGTTAGTGCTTTTCAGAACACTTTCACATCTGCTTTCTTTGGGTGGTGATGTCCTGTGCTTGGCTGACTGCTACAGTCCCAGGACAGTTTGTCCCTCCAGAGGGGGAAAAGGCCCAGTGCAGGTGCTCAGATGTGGCTGACCACAGCTAGAGGAACCAAGCAACCAACCAGTTGCCCTTGAGTCGATTCAGACTCATGGCAACTGCATGTATGTCAGAGTGAAACTGCTCCATAGGGTTTCCAATGGCTGATTTTTTTGAAAGTAGATCACCAGGCCTTTCTCCCCAGGCACCTCTGCGTGGAAAAGTGGCCTGGTAAAGGCAGAGGGAGCCCCCAGGTAGGGTTGCTGTGCTGTAGTGGATTACCTTTCTTGAGATACTTGTTTGTGTCTGTGGAGTGAGTACCAAATACACCCACCCACCCACCCAGCAGGGTTGCTAAACCCAAACCAAACCTGTTGCCATCGAGCTGATTCGGGCTCATAGTGGCCCTATCAGTAGAACTCCCACATAAGGTTTCCAAGGAGCAGCTGGTGGATTCGAACTACCAACCTTTTGGTTAGCAGCTGAGCTCTTAACCACTGCGCTACCAGGGCTCCAGCAGGGTTGGTAGGAGGATTAAATATAATCTGCTTCTCTGTTTATACCTGTTGTGGTCTAGACAATTCCTACTCATAGTGACCCTATAGGACAGAGTAGACCTGCCTCATAGCATTTTCAAGAAGCTGCTGGTGGATTTGAACTGCTGACCTTTTGGTTAGCAACCAAACCCTTAAGCACTGTGCCACTAGCCCTCTGGTTTTCTGTTTAGCGAGTCTTAATTGCTTATTAACAAAATAAATTGGGTGGGGGCCTTAAATATTACAAAAAGCCTTTTACCTGTCAGGTCATTGGTGTCTGAGGTACCAGACCAAAGGGGCTTGGGCTTTAGAAACCAATGCCAGATTTACATTCCTGCCCAAACCATTTATAAAAGTCAGGGGCCTGAGCTTCGGTTGCTCCATCTGTAAAATAGGTATGCATTGTTAGCCAATTCCAGGAGATGCTGAGGTTAAAAATCAGTTGAGGGATGATACAGATTAAACAATAAGCATGTACTGAGGATTCAGTAAATGTTGGCAAGTGATAATTTACCTCCTAGGAGAAATGCAGACCTGGTTAGCATTCCTGAAGCTTTTCCAGTGAATAAGCAAAGAATGAGAATTCTTTGTAGGAAATTGGAATATTTAAAAAGAAAAAGATGCTTTTCAAATTGTCTTCAGATGCCAAGAAGAAACTAGAAAACGTGATATCTCACCATCCCAATGTAATCACTGTTTTGCCATGTTGGACTTCTAAAAATGGAGGAAAATGTAGATGGGACCAATCAAAGGGACATGAACACAAGGAAGAACAATCCTAATAATACAGGTTGTATGAGGATGAAACCTGTTTTGCAGAGGGGCTAAGATGCTCAATAGGTGAAGTCTCCTTGGGGGGCAGTGCAGTCACTGTTGAGGCTGGCTTCCCAGGTAGACAGACAAGACAGGACAGTTAATGGGGAAAAGTGGGAAAAGATCCTTTGGAATTAGCAACATTGGCTTCTGTCCTTGTAATTTCACCATCTTGCCTCACCAAGTTGCCTTAGTCACTTCACCTGCAGATTGTTTCCGTTCATTCAAACACCATGGTCCATGGCTTCTGCCCTGGTGCAGCCCCTGGCCTATGTGGGTGGGTGGGATGCTTTTTAGTTTTGTGACTTGGAGTCAAACTTAAAATTTCCAGAAAATGACCTGTCTTTTACAACCTTTGAAATTGTGGGCGAGCAGTAGCCATTGAAAGATTTTGGGTAGGAAGTTAGTAATGTATTTCCAAAAAATGACAGTTGAAAGGTGGGAGAGAGAAACAGATGTCAGTGGGAAAAGTTCCTAATTTCCTATTCGGGAGAGGTTGGTGCTGAAGAAGTGTGAGAAGGGCAGGGAAGGGGGGGAGGCATGGTTGGGCTCTCCTAGCTGAAGTTTGAGGGAATTCCTTGGACCCTTACCTTCCATGTGTCTTCTCTGTTCTCTGCTCTCATTAA